GTTCACAGAAAATAACCGAAGTTAGTATTGAGAACCAAGATTCAAATCAGCAATTAAAGCGTTTAAGTCGCTATGAACAGCATTTTCCGAAAAGGATTCGCTTTGAGTTTCCACAGATATTACCAATAGGTATTCTTAGAACTCGAAAATAGGTGTTCCCAGAATTGTCTTTTGTTCTTAAACCCTAACACGTTTTGCGGACCTGTCTATGACTGCCGCATAAACCGTTTCAAAAGATTCGTCTTTGACAGATCAAAAGTTCTACGAAATAGCTAAGAAACTTTCGCAGACACTTTGTAGATCGATTTTAAAAAATCGTTTTCTCAAAAACCGTTCATAAAAACTGTTTCGCAATATTCAATCCGATTCAAGCGATAAGCAGAAAGCGGATTTATTGAGTTAAGATTGTAGGACCGCAAAAATCCGATTGAAATCACGAATAGAAAATAGCAATTTTATAAACGATATGAGGTAAGAGATTAAAATGAGAGTTAGAAAACCGATTGAAAACAGACGAAAACACGGAGTTGAGATATGAAATATTTCCTTAACTCAATAAATCGCCGGTAATGTGTGACCATATGGTGCGATTTTTGAATCCCAGGATACAACCGTGATGAGACTATTACGCAACACCCGTAATAGAATCTGCGAACTGAAATTATACTACGCTATAGCTCTCGAGACACTTACGATATTAAGACGAGAAGGATTTTCTGGAAAGAATTATTTGATGTGTGTTTGGTGTAATCGAGAATTCGATTATTTAGAATGAGAGAAGAGGGTGTCTATTTATACTGGAAGGTTCAGCTTGATCCGCAAGGAATAAGCTTTGGCAAAAAGGAACATTCATGAGATATTCTCCTTTTTCCGCAAGTAAAAGGATTCGGAAATCTTCCGTTATTCTCTGGACGCAATCTTTTATTTCCTAAAATTTATCCTTTCAATATGCAAAAAATATTTCGCAGGAACTAAGAAGCCCACGACCCACACCCAGCTATATAGAGCCCAAGAGCCCTAAGAGCCAACTAAAAAATGCAACGAGCAACGAGCCCGAGCCCGGCACAGGCACAGGCACAGGCACCGGCGACGGCGGTGGTGCGCGTAGGTGTTTTTGCATAATGCCCTTTTACTTCCACAATGCTGTTGATCCTTATTGTGAGAAGGCCATATATATACAAGAGATTTTTCTCCTTGGTGAGCAATGTGGGACAAATACACTTCCACTAAACTTCCACTTTTAGTTATAGCCAATAGGAACATTTCATTTCCATAGGCTCAAACTCAAATCTCAAATGAATTTATAAGGCCCATTTGCTTATTAAACTTCATTTCTTATTGACACACAAACTCAATATTACAAGTCCAAATGCTTATTAATATTGGGTTCCAACATTTTTCATTGCATACACAGAGAACAGATTTAGCCATTTTTTTCTTTTATCGATTTGTAGAGAAGATTTCTCAACATGGTTCTTCAATAGTGAAGCTTTTCTTCATCTACTGCTTTCATTTATCTATTCATGATGTTAAGTTCAGCTATGTACGAGTAGTTTCGTTGTTGGGTATATGTTTTATACCATTTTTTTCATTTTCTTATTCACTTGCCTACTTTCTTTTCTTTCTTAGTTTACTTTAAATTCATTGCTACAAACCATGACAACAAAACCCTTAAAACTAATTAGGTCGACACAACTTAGAAATTGATAGGAATTAGACAACCCTCAAATCTATGTGGATTCGATCCCGCAATTACTACTGTGTTTGCTGTGCATTTGAAACTTTCCTTATGGAAAAACTTGCTAATCAATACCTGCATCAACAGTAGCCGAGCAATTTCGATACAAGATACAAAAGCATACATGTAGAAATAATATACATCAATGAACATGTTTTAAATGCATGATTTTTTTGGGTGGCTACCAACGAAAGCTAAGTAGTTAAGTTGTAACAGTTTAGGTAATCAGCTTTTTTTAGTATATTAATTTTATTTATGTGTTCAGGTTTTATAATCGATAATCGACTTGAGTCGCTTCAAACATTCTAATTTCTTGCTTGAATGATTCAACCATGATCCCTAGAAAATTCCCAAGTATCCAACGTTTTTAATCTATTTCTTACACCATTTTGCTCACTTGCTCATTAAATTGGTTGCTTACTTTTCTTGCTTAGTTTACTTTAAATTCATTTATAGAATTTGTAAATTTGGACAGCACTTATAAATTAATAGAATTTGGACAGCACTTAAATCTCTATGAATTCGATCTGTGGATTTAATCTGTGGATTCGATCTCTTAAATATTACTGTATTTGCTGTGCACTTGGTTGGATATTTGCTAAAGGGTAAAAATTGCTAATCAATACCCACATCATCAAACATCATTTAAAAAAAAAAAAAACACTCTCCGAGAAACTACTTCTTTATAAATACAAAGTACAGATAGTTTGATCCGTTTTTTCAAAGTTACGTAGGCAGTTTATCTCAAATTCAGCTAACATTAATAAAATTCATTTTTCTTTTATTAAGCATCTTTTCACAAAATTTTCAATTTTTGCAGTCTCCGCCAAACTTTTCAGTAGCACATCGACATCCTAGCCAAGTGTTTGATAGCATTACTCATAAATGCAACCTTAAAATATTGGGATCCATCTTGCATGCTCACCTGGTGACTATCATTGTAAAATAACCAACTATTCAAAAACTCGGACCCAGTCCCGAACTAAAAAGTTCCTAGGTTATCTAAGAAAATAAGTCTGGCACATCTTGCAGACCAAGCCGATATGGGAGGAAGGGGGCGGTATTCATAGAAGCAACTCCTTAAAAACAAGAACCGATTAATGTCTACCAATATTCGTGTTCCATACATATATATATATATATATATCACTTTTAACAATACAAAAACAAATTTTAATTTACGTATCACAATCAAATGATTTGAAATAACATCTACACACATACTTTTAATTTAAAAATAATGAAATTGTATCTATATCTTAGTGATTTTTTTTGCTAAGTTATTATTAGTAAAAAAGTGTTACTTGTTAATTGTCATCATCACCAGTTTTATTAGTGAGAGAAGATGGTGAAAATTTTTTGACAATTAAGAAAAAACAAATCAATTTCTTTCTTTCTTTTTGCATAATTTTATTTCCAAATAGCATATTTCAATTTCAATAAGTTGACTTAACTTGGCCTTTTCGTATAATTTTATTTCTCTTTTACATATAAATGTTATGCTCAAAAATAGTTGTGTTAGATTGTCAATATCTTCCATCAATAACTCTTTGGGAAAACGATCTATTTCCCCCTTAGAACTATTATAGAGTAATAAATCTACACAAAGTTTCAACCTCGTCATATTTCTCTATAATTTGAAGTTTAAAAACGTATTTCCAAATAATTTTATAGTTCCGAACATATATACACACGAAACAAAAATTCAAAACTAAAACGACATATACTACGGTTAATTTCGGTTTACTATTTACAGAAAAATATTTAACCAATTAAAAACGAAATTAAACCACATTACAATCCGATCAAAATGAATAAACCAAAAGATATACAAACCAAATATCTAAACCCCAAAAATCCCCAAATTAAACCTCGAACCCTTTATTTTATGGCAACGAACCCAATCCCAGATTTTTTTTTGCGATGAACTCAACCCAGTTTTTTTTTTCAGTGAATCTTATCACACTAGAGAAATCTCTGCATTAATGCAAGCGTAAATTTTTGTCCCGGATTACGTAATGTGTTTATCATTTGAATTAAACGATGCTTTTACGATGAGTTAAGATTGCTCTCTGTTGGTTTCCACTATCTTTTACGTATCTGCGATCTCCATGAAGAAGAAGAGATCTGGTTCGAATCTCCCCATCGGCTCCGATTGCATCAAAGAAAATTACTAGAGAGCAAGACTAAAGTGGTTAATTAAAGCCATAAAATAATCAATCTAATCAGAATTAGTGGTGAAGAGATCGAGAATCTCTCAGAATTCTTTTTTTTTTTTTTAAATCTATGAACTCAAGTAACACGAATACATCAAATTATTACTTCAGAAACCAGTGTACATGTGATTGTATTTGAGAATTAAGTTTTCATTTTTTCAGAGATAAAACAAAAACAAAAATATTTCCAAGAAAAGAACAATCGGGTGAAGAAGGAGACTTTTTGGCTTCTGGGTCGGGTAGTTTGTTTTTTTTGGGTTTTTGAATTTTTGTTTTTGTTTTTGACATCGGTTGTATTTGGTTAAAGTTGATTATTGTAACTCGGTTTAGTTTAGATTTAGGTAGTTAAAATCCGATTGGTACACTATAAACCGAAGTTAACCATGGTATGTGTGTAGATATGTTTGGAACAATCAAATTGTGTAGAATTACGTTTTTAAACTTCAAATTATAGTGAAATATGACTAGGCTGAAACTTTGTGTGGATTTATTACTATATGATAGTTCTGAGGGGGAAATATTATAGGTCGTTTTCCCTAACTCTTTTCCCAAAATCAAAATAAAATTGATAAATATTTTGTTTTTTTTTTGGTCAATCAAAGGAAAAACTAATGATAAGTAAAATAAGTTAATGAAATAATTCCCGCTTCTCCCGCTCCTTTTCTTCGCTCTTGCCTCTGTCTGAAAATTGCTATCCGTCCTCTTCATCTTCCAATTCGATTTTCCATCTTTACCTGAAATTTTCATTAGACTCGATTTTCTGTAACAATTTTTAATATACTGTATAAATCTGTGAATCCCTTTGCCTTCCGATTCTCTTCGGATCTGTAAGTTTCTCAATACAATGTTTTTTTTTTTTTGTGATCCTGGAATGAGCCATTTTGTATTGATTCTTAGAGTTAGATTGAATCATTTAGAAAGCAGATTTTGGGAATATTTGTTTGCGGTTTCGAGGATATTAACGTTTTGAAATGTGAAATTTTGTGAATTTTAGTATTGTTTTATGAACGTTAACAGTTATTTGATTTTTGTAATAAGCCTCGTTGATGGAAAATCTGGTGATTTCTTCGAATAAAGGGGAACAATTGGAGGAGATGAAATCTGCTGAGATCATTGCTGAGGAAGTTTCTCCTAAACACAATGTTGAAAATGTTTCTGCAACATTGGGGGAGAACAATGGGGAAGAGATTAAAGAGATGAAATCTGTTGAGATCATTGATGAGCAAGTTTATCCTAAGCCCATTGTTGAAATTGAGGAGATGGAGTCTATAGACATCCACGAAGAGGAGAAGACCGTTTCTTTTGAATCTGAGACACAACAAGATAAGTTGCGTAGTAATGATGATGATGATGATGACGAGAGTGAGAGTTCGTCTGATTCAAAAGATGGTGATGAAATAGAGGAAGCTGATGAAGAAGAAACAATGGATGATGATAAAGAGCAGCCGAAACCCGACTCACCAGATTCTAATTCATCAACTTCTGCTTGGACAGAGAAAGCAGCTGCAATCAAGAATTTCGTTAGAGTGAAGAGCGAAGTCGCGGTACATACACTCATGCGTCGTCTTTCCGGGAAAATGAATGATGTCAATGCTGCTCATAACATATCAAATGATGGTACAGACACAAGAGGCGACGAAATCAAAGTGGGGGAATCACCTAAAGCAGAGGGAAAAGCGTCAATATGGAATCCCTTAAGCTATTTGAAGATGATGCAGAACGATGATACGGTTGACAAAGGAGAGGCGACGAATATGGAGGCGGCATTGGAGCCTGTAGTGATGAAAGGTAGAATAGTACTTTATACAAGACTAGGCTGTGAGGAGTGCAGAGAATGTAGGTTATATTTGCATGAAAAGAGGCTTAGATATGTGGAGATAAATATCGACATCTACCCAACAAGAACGTTGGAGCTGGAAAAGATTTCTGGATCTTCTTCAGATGTTCCTAAGATATTCTTCAATGAAGAGTTAGTTGGGAGTTTAAAAGAGCTCAAGGAAATGGATGAATCAGGAGAACTTGATGAGAAGATTAAATATTTGATAGCTGAAGCACCGCCTAGGGAAGCTCCTTTGCCACCATTCTCAGGGGAAGATGATGCATCAAGTAAAGGTCCTGTAGATGAACTAGCTTTAATAGTGCAGAAGATGAAGCCTTGCATTGTTAAGGATCGGTTTTATAAGCTGCGAAGGTTTAAGAACTGTTTCTCAGGTTCAGAAGCTGTTGATTTTTTATCCGCCGACCAACGTCTAGAAAGAGAAGCGGTAAGAGATATAAGTAATGTGATCACTGTTAGGTTTTAAGAATAGTTGATATATATAAACATGATTTGACGATTTATAATCTAACCTTTATGTTACATAGGCTGTTGAAGTTGCTCGGAAACTTGCAAGCCAACTTTTCTTTCAACATGTCTTAGAGTAAGCTTTTCTCTCTACACCAATGTTTTGAGGTTTTCTGGTTTCATTTTTGTTTCTTGTTTTTCATTTGTATCCTTCTGTGATATTTTGTAATCAGTGAGAATCTGTTTGAGGATGGGAATCACATGTACCGGTTTCTTGATGATGATCCTATCGTGTCATCTCAATGCCACAACATCCCTAGAGGGATAATTGAGTTGAAGCCAAGGCCAATTGTAGAAATTGCGTATAGACTCAGACTTCTGTATCAAGCAATCCTTGAAACTTACACTTCACCAGATGGAAAACATGTGGATTACAGAAGTATCCATGGAAGTGAAGAATTTGCAAGGTATGTATATGAATGATCCTCTTACATAAGTTGTTTCTATTTGTTGTTATTTCTGACCTGAGTATCATCATTCCATTCCCAAGATACCTACGAATAATCCAAGAGCTCCATAGGATAGAGCTTGAAGATATGCCGAGAGAGGAAAAGCTTGCATTCTTTGTAAACCTTTATAACATGATGGCTATTCATGCAATACTAGTATGGGGACATCCAGTAGGACCACTTGAACGAAATAAGATGTTTGGGGAATTCAAATATGTTATTGGTGGCAACACCTACTCGCTCTCTGCTATACAAAATGGAATTCTAAGGGGTAACCAGCGACCACCTTACAATCTTATGAAGCCTTTTGGTGCAAAAGATAAACGTTCAAAGGTAAAGAAAACCTTTGAAGAAGCTGGCTTGACTGTTTATACAAGCTTTGTGCTGATTCGTAGTATCATGTCTTTAGGTTGCTCTGCCTTATGTAGAGCCTTTAAGTCATTTTGCTCTGGTTTGTGGTACTCGGTCTGGACCACCTCTCCGATGTTTCTCACCTGGAGAGATCGATGAAGAACTCATGGGGGCAGCTCGCGATTTCTTAAGAGGCGGTGGACTCATAGTTGATCTCAATTCCAAGGTTGCTTACATTAGCAAAATCTTTAATTGGTAAAGCTCAGAAACATCTCATTCAATTCAACATAATTAAGAGTTACATGATTCTGTCTTGCTTACTGTACCCGATTTGTGCACAGGTATGGGGTTGATTTCGGAAAGGGCGAAGAGGAGGTACTGAAGCATGCATCAACCTACTTGGAGCCACAACTTTCAGAAGCTTTGTTGGATTTGCTAGTTGATACTCAGTTTAGAGTTGTCTACCAAACATATGACTGGGGGCTTAACAACTAAAAGACTTATTAATCCGGATGTATTGAAGCAACTTGCGACTTATGCCGCTTTTTTTAGTTGTGTTTCATAATTTGTATCATTGGCTTCAGTCTTAACAACATAATTTTGTGACTTGGTTCAAATGATGGACCATTTTGGGGAAAAAATAATCTTTACTATGGATATAGACAACTTTGTTGCACCTTGATGGAGATGTAAAAGACAAAAGCAAAAAGTCAACTTTGCCATATGGTACAAATCCAGTCCATCCTGTTTTTAATCTTCTATTTGTTCCAGAATCTCTTTTGGAACTTCAAAAGGTTGATTTACCGTAATGAAAATTTTTAGACCTACCCCATGATTTAGCTCCAAAAAGTTTCATTCAGCTTTGCATTGAAAACTGTTTTTGTTTAATTAAATCTTCTTTACGACATTTTTCAGTGCAACAGCTTCAGGTGCTTCAAACTTTGGGCTGTTTTACTAAAAAAATGTTTTTTTGTTCAAGAAAAAATGTCTCCATAACCGTAATTAGGAAAGGAAGTTAGTCTTCCCCTACTGAAGCATGTTCAAGAACTAGTTTAAAATTAATACTAATTGATAAATACTATCTAAATTATTAGCTTTTTATTTTTGATATATTATTAAGCAAAGGATTGCTCTGAAAATTTCTAATATTCATACGTCATCTAAAGATATCTCCTATGTCTTTGTTTAGAATATTTTTCAATTTTGAAAACTTTCTGTTATTCCATTTTGTAGTGTGTAGAACACTTTCAAAAACTCTTCAAATCAATCGTATATTAAGATAAAATGTTAAATTTTGGAAAAATACTACAAGGATGAATAAAATTGTATTTTATTGTTTTACTTATTTTTAGAGTTTTTTTTATGATATTTGATTTTTGACATACAAATCCCATCAAATTTAAAGAATACCTATTATATCATCGTAGTTCATAATAGCTTAAAAAATCAATATATTTCTTATGGTCCATATTTTCATTTCAAACTCAGATATTACAAAAAAAAAAAAAATCTATAGATATTTCACTCCGTGCATAGCACAAATTCATATCTGTTTTAATATATAAAGTTTGATGTACTAAATCTAGTAGTTATTTGATCGCAATCATGTTACTCATTCCATGAGAATTTAACAACATGTATTGCCAGGGATCCATCATTGATTGCCGAGTGATTTTTTTTCCTGGAAAATTTTTAAGATAGAATTCTGATTAGCCAATCGAAAAAGTGGGGAAGAACCAATTTAAGGAAGCGAGAAAAGTGAGAGGAAAAGACATAGAAGATGGAAAATAAAGTCTTGGTATCAGACAACTTGATTGGGTTCAAGCTTAACCGAATTGGATGGATGTGGTTTGGTAGAGGATGAAAATTGGTGGTGACAATGATAGAATAAAACATCTTATACATGTGTATATACATTTTAGTAAGGGTTACAAGTTCTTGTAAAGTGTTAAAAAAACTAATTTTCTTGTTAAGATGGTATATACATAATGTTGTAAATCAATAACAATTTAGTTGGGTTCATGCGTAATTATCTATTTTGTTCACTATTAACACAATTGTTTACAAGTTATATATTCTTGTTACTTGTCATATTATGGTGGATTTGATTCTAAGTCCGGCCTATGTAAAGCCCACTTAAATCTATCAATGGGTTACATCGGGCGAATCCCATCCTGACTGGGATCTCAAGCTAGAGTCAAAGTGGTGATCTTCACGCTGATGTACTAACAAAGTATAGCCAGATCAAAGGGAGATCGAAGAAAATCTCAAGTCTAGGAATTGGGTGAAGCTCAAGCACAATTAGGTCGAAGATCACGGAGCAGCTCAACAAAAAAGGGGTCAACGGGAGAAAATTGTCTTTAATAAAAAAATAAAAAGGGGCAATTTAGAAAGATAAATTTACGCTCAATATCACTTTTTTTTTTTTATTTACAGATACATCACTTTCTACTTATTTTTACCTCCTTACAATTGTCTTTCTCTCTTTTAAAAATAAAAGATAAAAGAAAAGAAAAATAAAAAGTTTCTCTCTCTTGTCAACAATAAGCATCATTTTTTTTTCTCTCTTTCCTCTCTTTTCCCCAAATTTATATCTCACATAATTTACTTTGCTTATTTTATTTTTATAAAAAATAATTGTTAAATTATTTTTTACACTATCAGTTATATCTAATTTATGTCTATGTTTTGATACCCATTTTATATAGTTTATTTATACATAATTTGCATAAATTATGTAAAAATAATATGTATATCCATATAGTTATGTATATGTGTATCAAATTATTCTGAATACGCATGTATGTCCATAACATGTAACTGCGTCTACATATACCATATGTTCATAGATACATCTACATATAGATACATGTACGCATATACGTGTACGTAACTATATAAAGACATGTATGGTTTATTTATTTATGCAAATTATATAAAAGTAAATTATTGTAAAATGAGTTTCAAAATATAGACATGAAATAGATATAACTGATAGTGTAAATATAACTGTTAAATTATTATTTTATAAAAAGAAAATAAAAATAATAAAGTATATGAGATATAAGTTTGGGAAAAAAGCGGAAAAAGAAAAAAAAAATAAAGAGAATGGTGCTTTTATGGTCGACAAGAAAGAGGAAGACAAAAGAGAGATAAACTTTTTATTTTTCTTTTGCTTTATCTTTTATTAATAAATTACAAATGGTAGAAGAATGAGATAATTGTAATTTAGCCAAAGCACAATGTTAGAGTAGCAAAAAGTGATATATTGTGTAAATAAGAGTCAAAAAGTGATATTGAGTGTAAACAACTCATTTAGAAGACCAATTGATTTATCTGATTAATATGTAGAAAAAAAAGATGAATTCATATTCATAGAAAGTTTTGCTTTCTAGATGATACTTCTTAAAAAAAAGTTTAATAATAAAGAGATTTTAATGGTTGATCGTGTATAATGGATTTGCCCTCTATAAAAAAAGGCATAAACATGTTGTTATAGATAATCTTTACTCATTCTAGACATAATACGCTCTACGAGCTCTTTAAAATCTTTGCAAAATCATTAATACAAATCCAATTCGTCGAATCTCGTCTTATCTACTTCGTTGTGGTCTTCTCAGAATCTTGCACATCTTCCTTTATTCACAAAACCACTCCAAATTATTGACTGTGGATTTTAGGATCCACAATTACTAACCATGAATTTGAATAACAAGCTATATGTTTTTGTCGTGTGTTAAATTACTTGTTAAATCTTATATTATAATAACTAGGTATCGCGGGGAAAATCAAATATTTGAAATTTATAATTATTTTAAATATATGTAAATGAACATACATATAACAAAAATTAATGATATTTAGATGTTAATATTCAATTTTTTTTAAAAAAAAAATAACTACTGTAAAAAAATAGATATGACTTTCAAAAATATAAAAATACAAAGATGAATGAAGTCGTACAAAAAAATTAACAAAAATTTCTATTTAAGTTCATAGTTTACAATTAATGTAACAGTGTATAACTCAACATATACATTCATATAAAAGATAACTATATAACTGACATTGAGAAGAAGTTAAAAAATAATTATAACCAACATGATCAATTTTTATCGATAGATTTTATTAACAGAAAACTAGATCTTATTCCGTGCATCCGCCCAAAAATATTTTTTAATCAAAATTTGTAATATATTTATATTTTCTTTATATATATAATTTTTCTAATAAGTGACAAATTTTTATTTTTGTGTTTAGATATAACTTTTTTAAAAAATTTTGTTTTCTGCTATTATTATGATCACTATAAAAAACATAATTCTAATCTTGTTAATCTATTAATCAAAAAATGACCGTTATTATGAAAACATATTCTAACTCGCTCATACTATTAATCCAAAAAAATCGTAATTATAAAAATATAATTCTAACCCGTCCGTTCATACTACTATATAAATATTTACTAATTTAAAAAAAAAATTATTGCATGTTTTGATAACCTAACCTGCATAAGACCATACTTAAAAAAAAAACTAACATGCTCCATCAAATCACCATAGAATATTAATACTTATCAGTTGTCAATTACCTTTAGTCTGATTGAATATGACTAAAAAAATACAATAAAGTATTCATTAATCATTTGTGTTATTCTAAAAATATTATTTAAACTTCAAAAGTTAAATTAAATCTAACAGAATTTTAAAGTAATATCTATTTTTCAGAATTAAATTTAATTACAAAAAATAGTTTGAATTTTTAAATATAACCTATACTTAAGGAAATCTTTAGGTATCTAAATTACTATATAATTTTTGGAATTAAATTATATATAAAAATGTGTTTTTTAAATAATATTGTAATAAACCAGGATAATTTTTAAACTGTTTTCAAATAGATTTTTTTAAAAAAAAATTTGAGAGTGTTGGGAAACAAGCATTAAAAATGCTTTTGTTTTAATAGAATAGATAAATATCGAATTTATCTGAAGATAGGCATGTGTATATATATATATATTTTTTTTTTTCACATCTATGATTTTTTTCAAACAGTAAATAGAATTTTGCCGAAGATTGACATGTACTTTTATCGTCAATCAGTAATGCATGACTTACTACAGAAAAAACAATAGTCAACGTAGTCTGGACACTGATCAAGTATTCAAGTGCGTGATGATCGATGGGTCGTTTCTTCAATTCTTAGTGAGTTAGACTCGGTTTGAATTGGGTCGTTCCATTCGAGATCGTAACTCGATTAGAGTAGACTTGCATCCTAAAAAAGAGTAGACTTGGACATGAGTAAACGTCAAAGTTGACCGTTTTCCATTGATGAAATCTACTTTATTTGAAAGTTGATACTTATTTTCTCTCGGCCTATTATTACCTTTTTTTTAAACAATACTTTCTTTATTAGGTGGACCAAAATTGTTATCCCATGCAATTTTCCGCAACAAATTGACATGGGATCGAACCCCAATAAACGCTCCCAAGTGTCAATTATTTGGAAATCTTTGGTCACTTTTATGGTATAGAATATATCCCTTGGTCTCCAAGCAAAACTATTCTTACTTTTCCCATTTTCTACGTTTCCTATATTACCAAATGAGAAACCAAGAAAAAAAAAAGAAAGAAAAATCAAATTGGCCGCCAAGGAAAGTTCCATGTTACTCCCCTCCTTACAAAGCTTTATAAAATCATCCATGAACCTCCTTAATCTCTCGTTCTCAACATACACATAAAAATAAACTCATTAATTTTCGTACCAACTTGAGATTATCTTTTGTTAGATTGATTCGGAGATGTACGGTGTTGGTGGATCAGGGACACTGGGTCTGGCAGAGGTTTACGCGATGAGAAAGATATTTAAGGAAAAGATGAAGACGAAGCTTGCGGCGGTAGAGACAGAGGAAGAGAAAGATAATGTTGGAGAAAAGAATAAAACCAAAGAAATGAAGATTACCAAGAAGACCCTCAAGACTAATCCGAGGGTTTCCTCTGCAGATATTTAAACATCTCTGTGTTACTGTGTATTTAACTTGTAACTATTTTATGATGGTTCGATTTGTTCTTTCTGTAATATATATATATATATATATATATATATTTTCAGATTTAGTTTTTTCTCACAGTTAATAGCAAAATTGTTGCTTGTTACCCTAAATCTAATGCATCCTTCATTTCAATTTATCATCAGAGAGAAATAATAATAATTTATGTATTATTTATATATGGAATCAGTGTCAATAACATTAAAGGCAATCGAAATTAACCTAATGCCTAGAAAAAATGATTAATAACGTAAAGTTGAATATTTAAAAATTAGAAATTCACCTCATTGCGATACGTTTTAAGTCAATCTTTATTGACACTAGATGATTACCCACTCAAATGCATGAGTTTTTTTAGTTATTATTTATCTAATGCTTAAAATCTAAATTAAATTTAAAGTATTCTTGTTTTGGTTAACTTTTTTATTGGCTCTTTTTTTTTGATAAATTTATTGGTTTTTTTGTTAGTTTTTTACATATTTTCTTAAAGTGTTTTTATTTTGGTTGGCTTTTATATTGACGTTTTCTTTTGTCTTCAAAAAGCTTATTAAACTTTTCTCTACTAAAAGCCGTTAATTTCTTCTTTTAAGACTACATCTTTTTTGGAACATCATAAAAAATCTAGATATGAGAATCCATCAAATAGATATGTAATCTATATTTTCTTTTATTGGTATCAAAAGTAGTAAGATAATTCTCATGATTATTCAAACACAAAGAAATTCGAGGCATCAAATAGTTCTTCAAATCAGAGTAGCTTACATGCACCCATCTTACGGTAGAGACTTCTTCTTTTTCTGTTATGTGAATTAGATTCAACCTATAAGAACAAACCATTAGCTAATTTTTTCTTTTTTGTAAAGCTTATTCAAGTTTACTAAATTTAGTGCGTGTTAGTTATCTTTAACTTACCTGAACAAATATTCCATTTTTTTCTTTGCTTGTTTACAACAATTGTTTACTTTGATTTCCATGCATGTATCGCATTCAATGATTTGTTATAGTGTTTTATTTAAACTATGTTAAAAAGATCACTGCATCATCAACTTGGAAATATAACGCTCACTATTTGCCAATATAATTGATCATCTTCCCTCCATTAAGCAAACTCCTATAGATTCCCTAATAACCTAAATATGAAAAATTATAGTAAGAATTTTTTCTTTTTTTTATGATCATAAAGTCAAAAAATGTTTAGTAATTTAAATTAGTTGCAAATTTCTCTTTTGAGAACCCAATAAAAAAAGTTTATCAGTAATTCTCAAAGTAACTAATCATCTTTCATAAGTTCATAGTTACCATAACTGAGAAATGTATGTAGCAAATTAACATTCAAACAGTAAAGTAGAAAAAAGGAGAGTTCTTGATCACAACAAGCTTCGAAGTCGTCCTGCTTTACTATTTATAGAATTCTCGAACAAAAATTTTTTTCTTCTTTAAACGAACACAATTGAGTGTTACCGTCAATGTCTCTGACCGTAACCAAGAAATAAATCTAAAACTGTGGATCTGTGGACAACGTTTATTGTCGTAGGCTTCTACATAGAAACCTGCATAAATTACAATTTAAAACTGTAGATTAGAGATTTATCAGAAAATTTTGAGTTATCTTTATTTTTTTCTTTTTTTTCTCTTCATATATGCATTGAAACATGTAGAAAAAGAATCTTCATATTAATAATGTTTGAAGTATCACTAAAAAACAAGACACCGCTGAAGTTAAAAAGCCATCATGATAAATAATCAAATTATAGAGAAAATGACTATGAAAATAATTAGTTTTAATTTAGTTTTTTTTAATAACAAATAAATGAGTTGATGTGTCATAAAAATGAATGCTGATATGTCAAACTTGTGAGACTCAACTGAGTCTTTATATAATAGATGTGTAAACAGTTTGTACTAATTAGAGTTGCACACATGTAAAAATAAATCAGATTAAGAAAATTAAATTAAAGTTATCATTTATGTGTATCTCAAGACTCTTCGGGCTCTGATGGGGAAAGCGGCCAATTCGTACCTCAACTCGTTCAACTGGTACCGATTAGTACCTACACAATTTTGGTGTGCTAATTGATACCTGAACTTTCAAAAATTGGAATATGCATACCCGAACATATATTATTTTGGCTAAAACCATCTTTGACCCGAATTCTGTTAGTCAATTCTGTTAAAATATTAACGGTGATTACTCAGACGACATGTGTCATGCTCGTTGGAACAAATTTGCAAAACGACGTAGTTTTGTGAAAAAAAAATTAACAAAAAATGCAGAAAATGCCTGTTGGAACAAATTTGCAAAACGACGTAGTTTTGTGAAAAAAAAAATTAACAAAAAATGCAGAAAATGCACCTCTATGGATTCGAACCTGGGTTAGTAGAAAGCAATGAAACTTTGTTACCAGTGCGCCAAATACGTATCGTTGAATTCGTGTGTCACAATAAAATAATAAACTTTGAGTCCGACCGAGATTCTTCAAATCTGATCAAAACTCAATTCTCGTTCTTATCCTTTCCATTTCTTTGTCGTCAATGTATGATGCGCACATTAATCTCCATTTATGGCTTAAAGCTACACTTGTGAAGTCAATTGGTTTTTTAGGTTTCTTTATTGAATCTTATCCTACAATAAATAGTGGTTTTTCCAGTTTCCTTGTTCAGTTTCAGGGATTTAGGGTTTTTGTTGTTCATATTCTTCTGGGTTTATCTACATTCAGATAAGGATTGACGAAAGAGAATCAATCAGATATGAGAATAGATTCATATTCTCAAGTAGTACCGCATTATAGCTTCATTCTCTGGCTTGTGTCCGTGCCCGTATGTCTACCGGTGATCGACTAAGGAGATGGGTTGCAAGTCAAGCTTGTGTCCTACGCGCTGAAAGAGATGAATTTCATGATCATCTATTCTTCACTTGTCCTTTTTCTGCCACAGTTTGGTCTGAAGTATCGGATCTCTCCTTAGAACTCGGTTAACTCAGAATTGGACAGATACTCTCTTAGCCATTGCTGCATTGTCTCATGACCACCTGAGATACATTCTGGCTCATCTAGCTTCCCAAGCCACGGTTTATTTTGTTTAGAAGGAGTAAAATGACAGAATTCACATTAAGCCTCAACAACCCATGCTTCTCGCCACATTGACAAAATAATCAGAAATCGCATCAGCTCACTCCCCTACTGGGAACATCCCCGTCTTCATCCTCTGCTGCAATTATGGTTCGCACACAGCCACCTGCAGCAATGAGATATACAAGCTCCTCACACTCACCTCACACTCACTGGCGGATCTAGAACCTTTTTTAGTTGGAAATATAATATTTTAAATAACAAAAATATTTTATATTAAATATCTTAAATTAAAAAAACCTACAAAGTTATTTTAAAAAGCTCCATATTTTGGAATCTTTTCATCACTACTTCATTTTTCACTCTCTCAAGCAATTCTTTCTCAACAAAACAAACGACACAATCGTTTAAAAACTGATCACTCATTCGTTTCTGTAAGACAGTCTTCACAATCTTCATCCCAGAAAAACATCTTTCAACTATAGCGGTGAGTACATGCAGAGTCAAAACTAGTTTCAAAAGTTGGTAAACCAAAAGATGTGAAAGATGTTTCTTTGTCTCCACCATAACTCATGCAAGATCTCCAAGATCCTTCAAATTAGAAAATATTTTATCTTCTCGGATAATGTCGATGTACATACCAAATTAATGCTCAAGAGATATTTGCTTAAGATGACTAAAATCTTCTAGATAAAACTCAGACAATCTCATAAATTTCAACTGATCAAACTCATAAAATGAATCAATGGGGCTCAAAGATTGAATACAACCAAGTAATTCAGTATCTACCTCATCAAAACGATCATTAAAATCTTGAATTTGCATATCCAATATAGTGTAAAAGCATTACACCTTGTAATGATGCAAGATGGTTTTATTGCTTTTCATGCTTGGTTTCTTTGAAATAATGAATTCTTTTTCCATTACCAACAGCTCTATCATATAATTCTCACAAAAAGAAAAAACTTTGTTGATAAAAGATTTCCATCCATTATTCCTGAGCTTGTACAATTGTTGCTTGGTGGATTTCACTAGTGACATATATAGCTTTCAGAATACTGTATCTTGATCTTTCCGTTGTAGAGCTTTCGATAAATTATTTGTGAGTCCAAGGAGAAGCAGCATCAACTGTAAATAGAACACAAAATCAAAAATGTGAAAGTATTTGAGAAGAACATTAGCTTGACGTTTTATAATGCTATCAGTCCCATTGCTTTCGACATACTCCAACACTTTAATGATAGAAGGAAATAGATCAACCAAACGCAATCATGTTTTATAGTGAGATCCCCAACAAGTTTTACCAGGTCTTTGAAATAAAAGCTCTTGATTCAACCCTTGCCATGTCTTAATTTCACCTTTCTTGGTTTTTTCCTCAATCCTTTTTCGATAGTCTTCTCGAACCATATCCTTTCTCTTGTAAGAAGCTCCAACAACATTTAACAAGACATCAATCATGTCAAAGAAGTTCCCAACTTCTAAATGTTTTTGAGCTATAGCAATAACTACCTATTGAAGCTGGTGAGCAAAAAAGTGAACATAATATGTAGAATTATTTTCTCTCAAAATGAGAGCTGTCAACCCATTGAATTCAACCTTCATATTACTCGCTCCATCATATCCTTCCCCTCTTAACTTGTTCGTACTCAATCTATGTTTAGCAAACAATGAATCAACAGCACATTTGAGAGATAAAGACGATGTTTCTTTCACATGAACAAGACCAATAAACCTTTCTTTAACTATTCTATATTTATCAACAAAGCGAAAGACCACTGCCATTTGCTCTTTATCGGAAACATCTGCAGATTCATCCACCAACAAACAAAATATATCATGATCAACTTCTTGAATAACTGACTCAATGAGTTCCTCTACAAAGCAATAAAATATTTCTGTCTGAATTTTGATAGACACCATCTGATTATTTTTGGGAGCATTGTCCAACACAACCTTACTTACAAGCTCATTTTGCTCAGTAGTATGTTTCACAATCTCCAAAAAATCTCCTTTGTTAGTTGAATCCACTGACTCATCGTGACCTCGAAACGGTATCCTTGTCGAAACAAAT